ACAAATATTATTAGCAGCAATCAACAGAACATTATTGTCTCAAATCAACATCTATTCACTCGAAGTAATCGAAATTTAAAGTCGCACAAGCGCACAATGATATTAAAGCAGACCAGTGCTTGTCAACCTGTTACCTCGCCCGCACCCTTCAAAAAATTTTAAAATGTCCTCGCACTCCTCACAACATCCACTCCGCATCTCCCATTCACCGCAGTGAGTATCTGCAGCTGAAATCTGCTCTCGCCTACTTTTATGGATAAAAATGGAATATTATTTCGCACCTCCCCCCGGAACGAGGTATGCTCATCCCCAGTTGAGAAACCCTGATGTAGACGGTAATGAATAAACATGAACAACACTGCTGAATGAAGATCAAAACTGGAAACGAAGAAAATTCGAATACGACGTGAACAAGACCAAAAAATAAATACGGAGTGAACTGTTACTTTTTGAGCGGAGTCAGAAATGGTAAGAGATCCCAACGCAGAGAGCTCTTAGCTTAGCAGAGGGAAGTTGAGGATATACCCTCGCTTGCAGTCATATTCCTTTCTATTCTACGAAACTAGTGTTTCGAATTAAACTAACTAATTAAACATTACCTGTTTGCAAGGTAATAAATAATTTTCATCTCCCTTGACAGCAAATATGGTTCATTTGCTTACAATTATGAAGTTTCCATCTACGAAATATTCTACAGTTGTAATCCACGTAGAAGTGCATCCCACCCTTTAACAATAAAATTCCTCACAGCATTATGTCTTTTCTGAATGCGTTCTCACTCAAAAATTCACCCTCGAATCGGTGGTATCTCATTCTCGATCGTCACTGACGAGCCAATGTAAAAAGCTCCTATGACTTGATTCATTCTTTGCGATTCGAAGAAATCTATCGCAATAAAAAGATATCAAAAGAATCAATCGTACTCTCATAGACTTCCTTTCTCGACAACACCAACCCAATACCAATACCAAAATGTTTGAAACAAAGAAATTCACTCATTAAATTATCTTAATGAATGCATTAAACCTTTTCGAATCCAATCCATTGTTTTCCAGAAAAGGTGTTCAAGAACATCAAAGTAGTCCTTTATATAACGGGTCTGCGGTACGTGCACCAATAATCAGCTTACTGATATGATAAAATCGAGTCAAATTTATTACAAAAAATTGCAAAGAATTCATAAAACGTGATAAAATTGCATTGAAATGGCAATATTTCAATGCAGATGCGTAAATAAATGCGTGAAACGACTAAAAATGAACGAGAAGACATTGCAAAACGAACCTTCAGAAATTGCATGGATCTTTGAGAATAAAACAATAAAAAAGCGCAATCAACCGATCATCCGAGTGACCACATCGTAACATATATCAACAACTGACTGATAAAAAGAAATTCGAAAAGGTCAGAAATATAAAATGGCATACAAACAATAAAAATGGTCAACGCAAATTTCGAATAAAATGTTCAAATCAGTTTCGAGCATTTTTCGGCTCCCGTCACCAAAACCGAACATTTGACCTCCCTATTCAACCTAATGAGGTCACGAATATGATACAT